GCGGTGGACTTTCTTCACTATAATAGCGTCGTCTGCCCTCCCCTGGTAACCGGCGGATCTGCAATTGAGTGCGTCAAGTCGTTGAAATTTCTCGGGGTTGATTTAGCAAGCGACTTGACATGGGGGGAGCACACGGACTATATAGTTAAGAAGGCCAACTGCAAGCTATATGCCATCAGAACGCTTAAGCGCTGTGGAGTGTCCCAAGCTGACATTGTCGGGGTGTATTTCACACTCATTAGGCTTCTTCTGGAATAAGCGACACCTACATTCGCCAATCTTCCACAGTACTCGTTGCAGACCCTAGAAGAGGTCCAGAAACGCGTACTTGCCATTGTTCTTCCGAACCTTGCATATGCAGATGCGCTAGTTGCATCTCGGATCGCCACGCTTGCGGATAGGCGCGAAGAAGCTTGTAAGAAGCTCACCTACGTACCCTGACACCGTCGAACCCTGTTTTCAATATTGTCAAAAGCCGCCTCGCTCGACCAAGTAACAAGTACAATCTCAGGTTTTCTTCTACTAGTTATGTGAAAAGCACAAAAACTGACCGTTTTGGAAAGTTTATAACGAACAAGTTTGCCACATATTTCAATCAAAATGTATAAAAATCCATTATTTATTATTTCATTTTGTAAGCTTACTTCCATGTATACAATTTTCTGACTATACCTGTAATTCAGATTTTCTGCAAGGGGTATAATAAACAAACAAACAAACAAACAATGTCCGCACAAAAAGTCTTCGCTAAGAGAAGTGTAAGACACAAAGACCGTTACCACCACATTCATAAGATGCTCTTGTGTTTCAAGGAAAAAACAAATCTATCGAGACAGAAAAGTGAACTGTAAACAGTAAACAATCATTTGTGGTTTTGAGGTTAGCTTCTTATCTTAAGTGTTTTGAACTCATGGCGATTGGTCAGTTCAGAATTGGCCTGTCAAAATGTAAGTGTTCAAAAGTGATCAAAGTGTTCACTGTGATTGGACAGTCCACAGTGACCTTCACAATCTAATCAAAGTGTTCACAGCTTTTCGTGAGAATCGTTGTTTCATTTCTTTCAATTCTTCATGAGTTCTCTAATACATGACGTCGCGTAACACGAAGGTTCCAAACTAAACGAGATCTCAAGGTTACTACAGCAACTCTCTGATCGTCGACAGACCTCGTTAAGTTCTGTTGGTCTTAAATCTTTTGTACTGTCTTCGTAACAGTTACCGCTTGATGCAAGTCGCGGTCTTTTCGCGTCACTGTCACTGTCTACACAACTAGATTCTCTTGTTACCGTATAGTAATCACTCCCAGCAGCGTAACTATCGACTGTTCGTGCATGCGCTTCTCTAACATATTTATATGACAAATCCCAAGGGAACGCCACAAGCTTTCTGTAAGCACCAGGCAAATTCATACCCAGACTCCGCAGCCTGAAATAAACAGTGCGGAAGAAAAAACTGAGTACACTGTGGTGAGAAATGACATTCTGTTCATGGGTTTAAATTAAACCAATTGTCAAATACTGGAAATAACACTAACCTAAAACTTTTTGCAGTCAACCCGTCTGTTTCCAGCCTCTTTTTATACCTAAAAAAAGGAAAAAAAGAACATTAACTTAACTCTTGACACCGTGCAATTATCTTTATCGAAAGGGACACTGTGAAGAATTTTTTTTTTACCATCTTAACATAAACTCACCTAATCTAGATCAATAAGAAATCATTGTCTCGTCATTCTCTTTTCCAACCGCCGTGTTTGTAACGCAACAAAATTGCTTCTCATTATCATCCCACAATCGTCAAAGTTTAACCCTCGAAACATCAGCTCACGCAGTACAACTGCCGCTTTACAAACGAATAATAAAATTTCCATTTCATACTGACTCATCTCCCACATCATTTGTTGGATACTGAATGTTGTAACCAGGAAGCGGCAAAACTACATCTTTGAGGCTATGCTTTCCTTCATCCTGATCAGAAACATATCTAACGCAATCCCTCCTTACACCACTGGTGTCATCTTCGCAAGAATTCCCAGCGCTACCGCTATCGTAACTGTCAGCGGTCGCCGAATTTTTAAATTCAACTTCATCTACAGACTTATCTACGACGAAGTCCCCTTGTACAGCCGCTGTCCGTCCGTAACGCTGAATCCTCAAAGATGCCATCTGGTTCCAGACCAGGCTGCAGTAGCTATGAACGTACAACAGGCGCATGGAATAAGGAATGTTCAGTAGTGCCTTCCGACAACCATCCTGTATTATAACATAACCAAAGTAAAGCGCGCGCTCTGATTGGTCAATTCAGCGCCCCCCATTTGCCCATGGGTGTACGCTGTTGACGTGAGCAAATGCAAAGACTATTTTTCCGCGCTTGCTTGTTTTTTCTGGTCATGTAAGATTTGTCAAATAAAAGGAAACTCTCGCTACAATGTATCAATGTTACGTTATAAAACAAATGGTAAACGCCACAGTGTACACTATTCAGTTATGGATGCACGCGGGAGGTTTGCTAAGCACTCA